CCTCCCTCTCCTCCCCTGCATTTCACCCACCCAGTACAGCGTTTCGTGGCCCCATAGGGAGCTCCACCGAAGGCCCCAGTGCCCCCGTCCGCATGCGTCCCGGAAGCCCAATTTGGCATTTTCACCCACCCAGTGCGGCGTTTCGTAGCCCCATAGGGGGCTCCACCCAAGGCCCCAGTGCCACCGTCCGTATGCGTCCGGGAAATGTAATTTGGCATTTTCACCCGAGCAGAGCAGCGTTTCATGGCCCCATAGGGGGCTCCACCGAAGCCCCCGGTGGGACCGTCCGCATGCGTCCCGGTAACCCAATTTGTCATTTTCACTCACTCAGTAGAGCGCTTCGTGGCCCCATAGGGATCTCCACCGAAGCCCTCAGTGGGACCGTCCGCATGCGTCCCGGAAACCCAATCCGGCACACCACCCACACAGTACAGCGTTCCCCCCCGCCCAGTGCAGCGCTTCGTGGCCATGGTCCAAGCGCAAGAATTGACCTGGGCACGGGCGTTCGGTTCATAGTTCGGTTGCCAACCTTTCTGGGGAAGAGTTACGTCCGGCGGCATGGTCCGGGCGATTAGTGAACTCGATTCCAGGCGGCACGGTCCAGGCAGTTCCCCCGCCTCGTATTCCGCCGCCTCCTCGTCGCTCCAAGAGCAACGAAGGTGGTCTCCAAGGTGAGAAGCAGCACGAGCACCGCCGCCAGTGTGAGGAGATGCTCCTGCCGACCATACTGTCTGCCGCGAGCCGTCCTGAGTCGTTCGTGCACGTTGTGGATATTGCAGGTGCTGCCGCCGCTCCAAGCACGGCCGCCCAGGTTGCGCGCAGCGCAGCGGGTGCAGGGAACGCACACGGGATGGCTCCCCGGATATCAGGTCCAGGCGCGCACAGGCTGACCTTGGGATCTTTGCCGTGCTTGTTGGTGCCACGACGAAGTGAGGGAGCTTGGGGGCCCTGGCAATAACCCCCAAGCTCACCTATGCGGTGTTTTTTCTGGAAGCCTTTGTTCACTGATCACGAGATCGAGTGCCCTGCCACGTTCGACGCCAGCCCTGGACCAGCAGTCATGTCCTGACAGGTGTACCACGCCATGGAGTCGAACCAGAGGCAGGATGTGGCCCACTCACTTTGCCGCCATCCCTCTCCTCGTGTTCTGGTGGGGCGATGTCAGGCTGATGGCCTGAGGCTCTCTTGTGTTGGTGTAGCGGGACAGCGGACCTGATTGTCGAATTCACACCTGTCCTATTGTAGTGGCCTTCGGCCAGTGCCGCCGATCCGGGTCGCTCGGGGTTATTCTCCAGACGCAGAAATTATGGGCGCACACTCAAACGCACACACACAGTCACACCACTTAACCTGCGCCGCAGACATGCGCACACAGCATCACCCACACACACATACTAGTTGGGAAACGCTCCTGTAGTACTAGTAGTAGTATAGTAGTAGTAGTAGTAGTAGTAGTAGTAGCAGTAGTAGTAGTAGTAGTAGTAGTAGTAGTGGTAGTAGTAGTAGTAGTAGTGGTTGTGGTAGTAGTGGTAGTAGTAGTAGAGGCCTCGTTCCGCGGCTTCTCTCGACTTCCCGCGGTCTCTCTCAAGTTTCGAGCACGCGGTGAGTTTCACGATATATGTGTGTGTATGTACGCGTGCATGCATGTATGCATGCATTGATCATGTGTGCCTGTGTGTAGGTACGTATGTATGTATGTATGCTTGTGCGCGTATGTATGTATTTAGTTTGTATGTATGTTTGTATGTGTGTATGATAATATGTGTGTATGTGTGTGAATGTAAGTATGTATGTCTGGAAGATTGTTTTTCTATGTATGCAAATGTGTTTAAATGTAGGTATGTATGCATGTGTGTATGGATGTGCGTTTGAAGAGCGAGGATGTTTCAAAGAAGAGGCACTCGGTGACGCGATCGTTGAGGGATAGGAGTGAGGTCGCAGAGGAGGAGGAGGAGAATGAGGAAGAGGCGATAACTTGAAGGAAAACGATGAGACGGAGGACATCCTGCCGGTGGCGCCCTGGGCGGTGCCGCGGAAGAAACCGGGGGCCTGCCGGAGGCAGTCTGGAGGCCTCTGGGGAGCTGTTTTGGGGCCTCTTGGAACCTCTTTTGGGCCTCTTGTGGGCTTCTTGGGGCCCCTTGGGGGTCTCTTGGGGCCTCCTGGGGGCCTCTTGGGGCGGAAAGCTCGGTTCTTTCGGTTCGTGGTCCCCCTCTTGGGCCCCTCTTGGGGCTCTCTTGGGGCCTTCTTGGGCTGTCCAGAGGCCCTCTTGGGCCGTCTTGGGGCCCTCTTGGGCCGTCTTGGGGCTCTCTTGGGCCGTGTTGGAAGCATCGTGGGCCGTCTTGGGACGGACTTGGGGGCCTCTTGGGCCGTCTTCGAGCGTCGGACGCCCGAAAAGGCAAGAACGCTAAAAACCCTGAGAAAACCAATGAAAATCAACGATTCTGGCCTCTTGGGGCCCTCTTGGGAGGCCTCTTGGAAGCTTCTTGGGGCGTCTTGGAGACACCTTGGGCCGTCTGGAGGCCATCTCGGGCGTCTTGGAGCGATTTTTCGGCGACTCGGGGCCCTCTTGGAACCCCTTGGGGGTCTCTTGGGCCCCCCCCCTCCTCCAAAGCGCCGGAAAAAGCGGAGCATGGCGCCCCCCCCCCCCCTATCTTCCACTCCCCCGGAGCGGCCCCGGGGTTCGCCGGAAACTCGCACCCCCCCCCCCCCCCCCACCCCCCCTTCCCCGGCAGAGCCACCCCGGCGACCCCCCCAGAGGCTGAAGCTCAGCCTCGAGGCTGTAGCTGAGACTCCTTGAAACTCACACGCCGGATCGGCGGATTTTCGCCATGGAGGTCTCATACTATTGTTGTTACTCTCGTATCCCGAGCTCCAAAGATACGTCTCTCGCATGTGAGCCAACGCTTCGTGTGCTCACTACGGCTCAGTTGTCTCGCATGGAGATTGGAACGCAGCCCCCTCCGGCCCCCTGACCATCCCTTTCCTCCTTTCGGGCATTTGGGGTCCCGACCCTGGACGCAGAAGGTACGGTATGTGCGCATGTCCATCTGTTCCACCGCGATTGCACCCAGCCGTCGCACGGGGTCATGAACAATGGCCATCTTCCAAGACAGCTGCGGCGCCGCCACAGCCTGTGCTCAGCCCCCTCGGGACGGAGCAGGGCGGCCAGCAGGTGCACATGCCTGCACTCGCGGCGCACGGGGGCCTCAGGGTCGTGTCTTCCTGCGGAGCCAGCCCGATCTGAGTGTCCGCGCCTCCTCCTCCTCCTCCTCCTCCTCTTCCTCCTCCTCCTCCTCCTCCTCCTCCTCCTCCTCCTCCTCCTCCTCCTCCTCCTCCTCCCCCTCCGTCCCCCCCACCCCGTCCGTGCCACCACCACCCCTGTCGCTCTCCCCCAGGCTTCGGGAAATCACAGCTCGGCTCTCCGGCGGCCGCGTAGGGGACGGTGCGGGCACCCCTGGAGCGCCCTCGCCGAGGCGCCGCCGCTAGAGGGCACCCCTGATGGTCTGGAGAGCACCGCGAAGGCGTCCCAAGACATTGGAGCTCGCGCCTGTTACCCAGGAGGAGGAGGAGGAGGAGGAGGAGGAGGAGGAGGAGGAGGAGGAGGAGGAGGAGGAGGAGAAGGGAGGAGGAGAAGGGAGGAGGAGGAGGAGGAGGAGGAGGAGGAGGAGAGGAGGAGGAGAAGGAGGAGGAGGAGGAGGAGGAGGAGGGGAGGAGGAGGAGGAGAAGGAGAAGGGAGGGAGGAGGAGGAGGAGGAGGAGGAGGAGGAGGAGGAGGAGGAGGAGGAGGACCCCCCCCCGTCGTTCCCACCTCCCGTGCGCGGAAGGGTCTGGCGACGGCCTGGGTTCTCGGGCCCGCCCGCCCACCAGCCTCGCAACCGGGGCGACGGCGCACACTTCCACGCGCCCTCCTGGGCCCCCGATTCGGTGTTGGTTGGCTGCGACCGCGGGGTGCAGGATTTGGGCCACTCGGCAGATCGACAAGTCGCGCCACAGCCCTGTCAACAGTCACGCGGGGGCGCAGGGGGGCGACAACAGAGATCGAAAAACAGGTGCAGGCTTCTGCCCACCAGCCGTGCCCCCCTCCCCCCGCGAGAGCCTGACCGTGTCGGGTGCGCAGGCCCGAAGGGCGCGCGGTGCCTGGCACCTGCGCGCGGGCACGCGTGGGGCTGCCCAGAGCGACGAAGGGTAGGCCACGGGGCGGCAGCTTCCCCCCCCAGAGAGAGCAGGGGAGCAGGAGAGCAGGAGCGGCAGCTTCCCCCCCAGGGAGCAGGGGGAGCAGCAGGTGGCGTAAGCATATGAAAACTCGGGATGGGCACAGCGACAAGAAGTGAGACTGGAGGAAGGGAAACAGCGTAAACACAACCTTTTAGAGGTCCTCGCGGACCTCCGAGTTTTTATGCTCATGACACTGTTCGCTCCCCTGGAATAGCCCGGGCTATCGCCGAAAAATGAAAAGCAGTCTCTTTCGGGCGGGGCTGGGACAAGCATGAATCCGTTCGGGGGGCGTTCCGGAACGCTCCCAGAACGCTCTGAGAAGGCCGCGGTGCCCGAGGCGTTTTCCAGCGCTGTTGGATCTCAGAGGCTCTCGATCTACCTTCACCCGAGTTCATCCTCGTCCTGGCGTTGTCTCTTACGTATGGAGGGAGAAAGACAGCACAAACATCAACCTTTGGAGGTCCGCGCGGAGTTTTTGGATCTGGGCTAGAACCCCCCCCCTTGACGCGCAGAGCGCGCCAGGGGCGGCGCCGGCGGCGCCAGGAGGGCCCAGCGCGGATCCAAGAAATCCGCGCGGAGCGCCGAAAGGTGATGTTTTATCCCGCTGTTGGGTTCCCCGGCTGTGCTGTGCCCCCCCCGCCCTTCCGTCTGTGCCTCCCCCCCCGCCTGTGCCCTCCCCCCCCCCCCGCCCCTCCTCGTCCACCGCCCCCGCCGCGCGGAGAATAGCGCGCGCCCCGCCGCCGCTGCCCCGCACCGTGGGGGGGGGGGGGCAGTTGTCCCCAGGAGGCGCTCGGCGAGGCCCTGCGGGCGGGGATCAAGGCCGGCCCCGCGCGCGCGCCGGGCGGGGGGAGGAAAGGGAGAGGGAGGGGAGGGCAGGGGAGGGGAGGGGAGGGGAGAAGAGAGGGGAGGAAGGCAAGCTAGGTGCGCTCGCGTCATATCTGGCGTCCTATCCCTCCGCCCCATCCCTTACCATGGCGTAGATCTCTCTGTTCGCACAGTCGGATGTCGTAGCATGGCATAGCATTACGAGGCACAGCATGGTGTTGAAGATTAACACGTAGCATGACATAGGATGGCGTGGCGACGCCCCAAAGTGGGAATGGGGGGGGGCTTCTGCGGCCCAACAGATCCACGAATCGACACCGAATGTGTAATCACTGGCGCCAGCGCTGCTACGGGAGCACTATTCGGAACGAGCGGAAGCGCGGAAATGAGGCCAGCGCTGCAGCGGGAATGCGATTCGGAACGGGCGGTAGCGCGGAAACGAGGCCAGCGGTTCAGCGAGAGCAGCTTTTGAAAAAAAGCCCAAGCGCGGAAGCGTGGAAATGAGGACGCGTAGCCTGACATTGCGTGGCGTGGCGACGCCCCAAAGTGGAGGTGGGCTTCTGCGGCCCAAGGGATCAACGAATCGACACCGAATGTGTAATCACTTCCGATGGTTTGTTCGGGGGGTGGTTTTTTAGATGTTAGGCTTCTTTGGAATGACCGAAAACCGTGCCGGGGCATGGCGCTGGAAATAATGACGCCAGCGCTGCAACGGGAGCATGATTCGGAACGAGCGGAAGCGCGGAAATGAGGCCAGCGCTGCAGCAGGAGCACGATTCGGAACGGGCGGTAGCCCGAAAATGAAGCCAGCGGTTCAGCGAGAGCATCATTTGAAAAAAAGATGAGCGCGGAAGCGCGGAGATGAGGACGCGTAGCCTGACAGAGCATGGCGTGACGACGCCTCAAAGTGGGGGTTGGGCTTCTGCGGCCCAACAGATCAACGAATCGACACCGACTGTGTAATCACTTCCCATGGTTTGTTCGGGGGGGCATTTTTTCGATTCTGCCACTTATCTGGAAGGACCGAAGACCATGCCGTGGCATGGCACTGGAAATAATGGCACCAGCGCTACAGGTGGAGCACGATTCGGAACGAGCGGAAGCGCGGAAATGAGGCCAGCGCTTGAGCGAGAGCAGCATTTTTAAAACAACCCAAGCGCAAACCCGTTTCCCGGGAATCCTGCGTGTAAAAAACCAACACGCGGAGGGGGGCCGAACAATTGCCGGACGCCACCAGGGGAGAGAGGAGAGTAGTGTTCAGATTGCTGAATTGTGAAGGAGACGGGAGGGGAGGGTAGGGGAGGGGAAGAGAGAGGGGAGAGGGGAGGGCAGGGGAGGGGAGGGGAGGGGAGAAGAGAGGGGAGGAAGGCAAGCTAGGTGCGCTCGCGTCATATCTGGCGTGCTATCCCTCCCTCCCATCCCTTACCATGGCGTAGATCTCCTCTCTGTTCGCACAGTCGGATGTCGTAGCATGGCATAGCATTACATGGCACAGCATGGTGTTGAAGATCAACACATAGCATGACATAGGATGGCGTGGCGACGCCCCAAAGTGGGAAGGGGGGGGTTCTGCGGCCCAACAGATCCACGAATCGACACCGAATGTAATCACTTCCGATGGTTTGTTCGGGTGGCCATCTTTTAGATTTTGCGACCTACTTGGAGGAGGACCGAAGACCATGCCGTGGCATGGACTGGAAATAATGAGCGCTGAAGGGGGAGCACGGTTCGGAACGAGCGGAAGCGCAGATTTGAGGCCAGCGTTGCAACAGAAGCACGATTCGGAACGAGCGGAAGCGTGGAAATGAGGCCAGCCTTGCAGCGGGAGCACGATTCGGAACGAGCGGAAACACGAAAACGAGGCCAGCGCTTCAGCGGGAGCAACAGTTTGGACAAAACCCCAGCGAAAACCCATTTCCCGCGAGTCTTGCGTGCAAAAAAACAGTTCGCGGAGGAGGGCCAGGCATCTTCTGGACTCCATCAGGGGAGAGAGGAGAGAAGAATTCTGATTGTGTAACTGTGAAGGGGAGAGGGGAGGAATTGAAAGGAAGGGAGGGGAGGGGAGGGGAGGTGAGGGCAGGGGAAGGGAGAGGGCTGGAAGGGAAGGAAGGGAAGGGAAGGGAGGGGGGGGGACATGGACCTGCAACGAATCGACAAGAGCCGAGCGCCGTTTAGGGGGGACCGTCGCCGGGCCCCAGGGCCGTCAAAAAACGACCTGGAAGGATGAGCCCGTCTCCGGGGAAGTGGTCCAGAGCTCCGGGGACCGAAAAAGTCAAGGCATCGAAGGTCTCGGGAGGGAGGGAGGGAGTGAGGGGTACGGGCGACCCGGAGGGGATACCAATATCCAACCTCGTACCCTCCTCCCTCCTCTTTCCTCCTCCTCGTTCTCGCTCCTCCTCCCCCCCACCTTCTGGGCCCCCCTGGACCTGGCAAGCACCGTAGGCCTCGTCTCGAGTGCACAGATTCTGTGGGGTCTGCGTTCTTCGGGGTTCCTGCTCGCCTTGGGTTTGGACTCCCGAGGTCCTGGGGATCTGGGACATCTGAAACATGTTCAATGTTTGAAAAGTTTCGCAGGCTGCGAACATGCCATTTTTCAACAAAAAAAAGATATAACGTCTGGGGGTCGGTGGTTTTCGGAATTCCTGGTCGCCTCGGGTTTGGACTCCCGAGGGCCTGTGAATCTAGACAATTGTGTTAAAACAGTGTGTTTAAAACAAGTGTGCTGGTTCCGATAATTCCCAACCCTCCTTGGTTGGGTATTCGTTTTGAATAGAGGGGTGTGGTCGCGTCCTTCTCCCGCCTCCCGCCTCCCGCCTCCCTCTTGTCTCCTCTCGCCGTCCCTGGGGGGGCTGCGATCTGTGAAACTGTCGCCACTTTCGAGGGCTGCTGGGGAGACCAGCAGAGAGGGCACTCACCGCGGATCCAAACGGGACCTCGCCGTCCCTGGGGGTCTGCGATCTGTGAAATTGTCGCCTTTTTCGAGGGCTGCTGGGGAGGCCAGCAGAGAGGGCACTCACCGCGGATCCAAACGGGACCTCGCCGTCCCTGGGGGGCTGCGATCTGCGAAATTGTCGCCATTTTCGAGGGCTGTTGGGGAGGCCAGCAGAGAGGGTACTCACCGCGGATCCAAACGGGACCTCGCCGTCCCTGGGGTCTGCGATCTGTGAAACTGTCGCCACTTTCGAGGGTTGCTGGGGAGGCCAGCAGAGAGGGTACTCACCGCGGATCCAAACGGGACCTCGCCGTCCCTGGGGGGCTGCAATCTGTGAAATTGTCGCCTTTTTCGAGGGCTGCTGGTGGGTCCAGCAGAGAGGGTACTCACCGCGGATCCAAACAGGACCTCGCCATCCCTGGGGGGCTGCGATCTGCGAAATTGTCGCCACTTTCGAGGGCTGCTGGGGAGGCCAGCAGAGAGGGTACTCACCGCGGATCAAACAGGACCTCGCCGTCCCTGGGGGGCTGCGATCTGCGAATTTGTCGCCACTCTCGAGGGCTGCTGGTGGGTCCTGCGGAGTGAGGCGCCGCGCGGACCTGAGCGGGATCTCGCTGTCCCTGGGGGGCTGCGATCTGCGAAACCGTCGCCACTTTCGAGGGCTGCTGGTGGGTCCTGCGGGGTGAGGCACCGCGCGGACCTGAGCGGGACCTCGCCGCCCCTGGGGGGCTGCGATCTGCGAAACCGTCGTTCTTTCGAGGGCTGCTGGTGGGTCCTGCAGAGTGAAGCACCGCGCGGACCTGAGCGGGACCTCGCCGTCCCTGGGGGGCTGCGATCTGCGAATTTGTCGCCACTCTCGAGGGCTGCTGGTGGGTCCTGCGGAGCGAGGCACCGCGCGGACCTGAGCGGGACCTCGCCGTCCCTGGGGGGCTGCGATCTGCGAAACTGTCGCCACTTTCGAGGACTGCTGGTGGGTCCTGCGGAGTGAGGCACCGCGCGGACTTGAGCGGGACCTCGCCATGCCTGGGGGGCTGCGATCGGCGAAACTGTGGCCACTTTCGAGGGCTGCTGGTGGGTCGTGCGGAGTGAGGCACCGCGCGGGCCTGAGCGGGACCTCGCCGTCCCTGGCCCTGGGGGGCTGCGATCTGCGAAACCGTCGCCACTTTCGAGGGCTGCTGGTGGGCCCTGCGGAGTGAGGCACCGCGCGGACTTGAGCGGGACCTCGCCGTCCCTGGGGGGCTGCGATCTGCGAAACTGTCGCCACTCTCGAGGGCTGCTGGTGGGTCCTGCGGAAGAGGCACCGCGCGGACCTGAGCGGGACCTCGCCGTCCTTGGGGGGTTGCGATCTTGTGTGTTGTTGTAAACAATGAAGTTTTCGGGCCGTGGTCCTCTCTCTCCTCCCCCTCCCCCGTCTTCCGAATGGTCGGCGGGGCTGGGAGGGCGGGGGCGGCGCAAAGTCAGGTGGTGCCGTTCTGACATAACACGTGATGTTTGTATTCTCCGCTCAAGTTCTTTGGCTCGAGCTGCCCGCGGAGTTTCCCGCATTCTTGCCCGAGCCCCTCTTCATTTGCTCTCCGCGCGGCAGCAGCGCGGGCAATTCTGAGACCTCGGGCTGCTCTTCGTGGTTTGAGTTGAGCTGGAGTCCTCCGACGAGAGGCAGGTGCTGGTGCTGCCGCCGAGTGCGCTTGAGGGCGCTTGCGAGACGGCGGTCTTCGGTTGCTGGTCGTTCGGGCTCGTGGTGTGGTCGTCTTTCTCTGTGGTGATCGGTCTGATCGTGGAGCTGGAGTCGATCGACGAGCCGGGGGTTCTCGAGATCCAGATGCCAGTGGAGCCATGGGTCTCGCCGGTTCTGTCGCCAGAGCGGGACCGACGGTGTGAAGATGCAGCTGGTGGGCTGCGAGAGTGGCTACGCGTGGGCCGCCATCGGCCCGGACCTGAGCCTCGGCCTGATCTGCTTCAAGGCGAAGATCGCGATCTTCACGGACCCAGTGGAAAGTATTCGCTGGCGGCCGATGCCTTTGCTATCTTTGGTGGAGAGGGACGCCTACGTGAGTCAGTTGACGGTGGGCTTGCGGTTGTGGACGATGCCGACGTTGCCTCTGTGCCGCCCCAGCAGGTATGGTCAGCGGGCGATGGCGGTGAATGTGTGGTATGCCGTTTTCCAGTTGGTAGCTTTGTCTCTCCCGACGCTGAGGTGGTGTTTGAGGGGTCCCGAGCTCTTCCTGGGCGCGCTGGCCGCGTTGTTCGTATGATCCAAGCCGACGGCGGTGCTGGGCTTGATCGAGTATCCGAAGGAGTTGGGTGTGTACACGATCCGCTACTGGGACACGGCCAAGGAAGCGTTCGTGGTGAGCTCGGAGATCATCCAGGGGTGGGTCGCCTACCCTTAAGAATGGAAGGGGTGGCTGCGGAAGCTCATGCCTCTTCAGCGTTGGCTGATGACGTTCTTGGTCCTCACCCTTCGGACCGTCGGGGAGTCTCGCGAATGGGCGGACGGGGGCGAGCGTGGAGAGTCTTCTATTGGGTCCTCAACTGCTTCGAGTGTGGATGCGCCCGTCGAGTCGGCAGCCTTCGCACCTGCGCCCTTGCCGCCGCCTGGTTACCCGTTGGGTGGGGAGAAGACGGCGTGGGTGAATCAGCTGGACGATCTCGTGGAGTTCCCGAAGGCCCGGACGGAGGTGATCACCGAATCCATGACGGCCGCGCGGGCGAGGGAGCTGCTTCGAGACGCGCGGTGAGTTCCCCTGGACCCCCGCGGCCGCGCGGATGCCGAGGGCCACAAGCAGGTGATCGATGGCGTGATCGCCCGTCTGGACCAGTCCGAGGTCCACCTGAAGGAGGAGGCCCCTGCGGAGGCGAGTGTCGTCGAGAGTGTGGCTGCGATCGAGGGGGCGTTTGCTTCGTCCCCTGCCGTCGTCGCGCGCGGCTTGCCCGCCACGACCACCCCCACCACAGTGATGGAGACGCCGTTGAAGCGAGCTGCCACCTCACAGCCGGAGGTCGTCGGGCTTGCCGTCAAGCGGATGCGCTTCGAGGATCAGTTGCCGCAGCTGTTGTGCAAGTGGCGGCTGGACGAGCACCAGGAAATCAAGCCCGAGGAGTGGAACCGCCGCAGGCCCGAGAGTTACCGTCGTCGGGTCTCGGCCGAGGTGCTGTCGGAGATCTACTCAGCGAGGAAGACGGCCGATGCCTGGGCGCGCGACTTCATCCGGTACCGTGGGTTGAACGATGGTCACATGGCGCGGGAGATGATCACGGCCTTCGTCGCGGTGGACACGCCGGTGATGACCGACCGCCAGAAGGGCCTCGTCAACCTGGTGAGCTTCGAGTGGCTGGCGCGAATGGTGTGCGCTATCGTGAGGGTCGACCGCAACGTCCACAGCCGCGACGACGGGAGGCGTCTCAATGCTGCCAAGAACTGGAAGTCGGAGTTGGACTGGGAGGCGGCGCACCGCTTGGACCCGCAGTTTACCGACGAGAGTACTATTCGGGCGATGATCGTCGAGGAAGAGATGAAGAGGGCCATGGGTCGCGACGCGGAGCTGATGGAGGCGCCCGCCGACCTAGACGGTGGTGCGGAAGCCCCGCCGTGAGAGTCAAGGAGCTTCAATTGGGGGCACTCGGTGTCGAGTCGGGTGGCCCCTGCAGCTGGCGTCGCGGGGCCTCCGCGCGTCGGCGTCTTTTGTCTAGTGCATTCTTTCTGCTGCAGCTGACTCGCATCATCGCCGTCGGCTGGCCCGTGAGCTTGTGCACGCCGAATTTGGGCTTTCAGGTCTCGGCGGCGGCACATCCTGTCCGAGGTGGTGCTGCTCGCGCGCCCGAGGCGGCCTGTTTCGACCTCTCGTCGAGTGCTCTCGCGCAGAGAGGAGGAGATGGAGCTGGGCGAGACGGCGAACCGCGCTCTCTCGGCGTTGCGGCAGCTCCACCGTGGGAGTCTGGACGACAGTCTACTGGGCCTGGCCGACTGCTGGCGCCTCGGGATCGTGTTCGACAATTTGGACGGGGGCCTCTCTCGGCGGGTGCCTGGAGAGGTTGGTCACCAGTCGCCGCCGTCGACTACGCCCTCACAAGGAGCCGCGCCCCTGCGGCTGCGCCTTGCCGCCGCTGCGGCGGGCAATCAGTCCCAGTCTACCTTCAGGCAGAGGGTGGCCGAACTTCGGAGGAGGAGTGCTGGCAGGAGTGGACGGCTGCCAGACAGGGGCGAGACGTTTCCGGATCAATGGGATCGACTTGCCCTACCTCCTCCGGGGACCAGACCTGTGAGTGCGAGGTCTGTGTCGCCTCGAGTGGCACAGAAGTTGGAGATGTTCAAGGAGGAGATGTTGAGGAAGGATGGCGAGGCTTGTGTTCAGGCCCGCCAGAGACGCAACTACGTGGACCTGCCCTTCCGCCAAAAGACGAAGACGCTGCAGACGGCCCGAAGGGTGGTATTAGCGGGCATGCCGTGCCGCACTGCCGAGAAGGTGGACGAGGTCGGGCTCTGTTACGTCGTGAAGAAGGCGGAGCCTGTGGAGAACGAGCCCGAGGTGACGCTGAGGTTGGTGTTCGACGAGAGACGTTCCAACCTGCGTTGGCGGTCTCCCCTTTGGTGTGCCAGGGGAGGGGTCAGGGCGACGTCTTTCCTGGACGTGTCCGGGGAGACGAAGGAGGACGACATGAGCGTGCGCTTCGGCACGTGCGAATTCCCCGACGTCTACGACACGGTGGAGTTGGGGGAGGAGCTGGCGTCGCACTTTGGGAGTCACAGCGTGTCGGGCGACGCGCTGGACGCACTGCTCCCCGAAGGCTCGTCAGGGCCTGGGGACGTCCGCTGCGTCGGGGCGAAGGTCTCGTTGATGGCCTTCTCTCGGGCGTGCTGGACGGCGCAGACTACGATGGAGGACCCCTTCCATGCTGGTCCCGGGGTTGGGTCTTCTTCGCTTTCAGAAGGTCGGCGACTTGCCGAAGGCGGGCCATTACCTCATCGCAGTCGGGAGCTACCTGCTACGCACGAGGAGTACATCGACGACTTCGGTGTCCTGGGCTTGGGCTTTCGGACCCAGCCTGGGCGGGAAACGGTGGCGACGGTGGAGGAGGTCTGGCTGGGCCCCAAGGAGTTGGTGGTCGTCGCGGGCTTCAAGGTGCACAAGGATGCCTGATCGAAGTATGCTCGTATGATTGGTGGCGACCTATGGGGGGCCCGTCTGGCGCCGAATCAGGACACGACGGGGATGGTGGTCTTCGGCATACGGGGGATCCTGACCCACCAGAGGGAGCTGCCCGACACGGGTGCGCGGAGCGTCGGTCTCCTGTCCTGGGGCTTCCTGATCTGCCGTGGTGTGCTGAGCGTCTTCGCGGACGTGCACTCGGGGCGCATGGAGTTCCGGTGGGGAGCTCGACGCGAGGTCCTACGGGAAGTGCTGAGGGAGATGGCCGCGACCGCAGCGACAGTGCTGCTGATCTCGTGGGACCGCTCGACGCCCTGGGGCCCGACGGTGACGATGTTCTACGTGAACCTCTGCGGTGGTGCGCCCCTATCGACGGCGGCCACGGTGGTGGGGCAGCGTCGAGAGACCCGCTAGGCTCTTCGAGGAAGCTGGACCGTCTGGGCAGGTGTCACCTCGTCCTGGGCGGCAGACGCTTGGTGCGAGGCGGAGGCCTTCAGACGCGTGGGTGGCGACGTGGAGTTGGGCATCCGTATCCGCGGTCTTCCTGTGCACGAGTGAGGGGGCGGCCTCGCCCAGTAGGAGGAGGTTGCTCTCTGGACATGGTCAAAGAGGGAGCACATCGACCTGCTGGAGATGCGCACGGGGGTGGCCGCCGTGAGGCACCCGGCCCACAGACGTTCGAACTGGTGCTAGGAGGTCAGTCGGCCCATCCTGATTGTGCGCAGGGGGATGGCCGCCCGCGACCTCGGGCGCGGCATGCGGGAGTACTTGGGCTCGGTGCCGTCGGACCGCAACTACCGCGACGGGCCGAGCCGGGGGTTCACGATTGGCCAGACCTCGAAGGAGCGGAGGACGGACGAGCGAGTGCTGCCAGAGAAGGTGGCGTCGAGGATAGAGGCCCTGGCGGACCTGGCGGAGGTAGACCCCTTCCAGCCGCTCAGGATGGGTGTCTCGATCCCGGTGAAGGTGCTGCGCTTGGTCTCGCGGGGCTACCTGATGATCTGCACCAACGTGGACGTCGGCTTCGGCGCAGAGTTCGACCGGACGGACGAGGTCAACGTGCGGAGGCTGGAGCTGCTGACGTACTCGGCCGACTTCTGCGTGATGTTGGCGAAGTGCCTCGTGGAGGCGAGGCCGACCCTGCAGGAGAGACGGGAGGTCGACCTGACCAAGAGGGCCGTGGAGCGGTTGATCTACGAGACCCTGGAGCGCAGGCGCCGAGACGCTACGTCCTTGGAGTCACTACCTGCCCTTTTCCTTCGAGCATCTGGCGGACCGAGGGTGAAGGTCCATCCGCGATGGGTTGGCCGCCACCCCTACCCGACGAGGCTCGAGTTCAAGCTGTACAAGACTACGCAGACATGATGCAAGACCTACGGGACTGGGCTCATCGGTGGTACAGCGACCTCACGCAGCGGGCTACCGACAGCACCGAGTGGCGGGACTGGTGCGTGGCTTTCATGGTGGATATAATTCTGAGCGGGGCCGACGAGGCCCAGAGGCGTCTGCTCCTCAACGGGCCCCCTCGCCACACAGTCGCGGACGTCGTCAGGGGCCTCTGCAGCAGCGTGGGGAGGCCTCGTTACCCCGATCAGTATCGCAAGAGGGGCAACGCCCACCGCAGGAACGACGCGGAGCGCTTGCACCTGCAGCGGGCGCCGCGGAGGGAGGGGGTGACCCACGGGCTGGCCCTCCTGCCGCTTTCGGTCTCCACCAAGACGGCGCTGGGCTGCTACGTTGCCGACGTGCGCCGCGGCCTGGGCTTTGCGCTGGAAGGGAACCTGCCGATGATGAAGCGGGAGGAGATCGAAGACGCGGTCCCGGGCTACTTGGACCGCCTGGTCGAGGACGAGGAGGTGTGCTCGCACAGAGGAGATTTCGGGGTGCACGGCGTCGCCTCCGCGTGGCTTGAGCTCTCGACAGGGTTGCCCAGATCCAACCGAGCACTTCGAGCTTGGGATCGATTGCGCGTGGCAGGAAGCGGACCTCACTCCCTCGAGCACGGGGCCGTGCTGGATGAGGTCATGAGGCTGGTCGGGATCGTGGGGCCCCGGACGCCGCCGAGCTCGGCATCGACGCCTGCCTCAGGTCCAGGGAGCTGTTCGCCCCCCAGCCGGGCGACACCGTGACCGATGTGGGCAGAGCGGGTGAGCAGGTCGTGGCTCTACGACTCGGTGTGGCAGAACGCGGCAAGGGACCAAGATGGGCGCGAGGCATAGTGTGCTGATCGACTATCGTATTGGAGTGACATGCGCGTGCGCAGGAAGGCCGGCGAGGCCCCTCGGACCGGGTCGCCAGCTGCTCTGTGGACGCCTACCGCCGTGCTCTGAGGCATGCTTGCGGCGACGTTGGCGTCGAGCGTCTCCCGCCCCATGCAGCCAGGCACTCAGATCCGAGCCATGATGCGGCGACGGGCTACACGACTGTTTGGGCTATCCAGCGGCGCGGGCGGCGGGCGTCGGAGAAGAGCGTGCTCAAAGACCTGCAGACGCACGCTCTGCTGGCCGCCCGCGTCGGTCTTCCGCCAGACATCCTCGAGCGCGGGGGCAATCAATGGAGAAGAAGAGATGTCGCCCGGTAAGGGCTCGTGAGTGATGCAGTTTGTGCAGTTACTGATCTCATGATTTTTTGGAGCCTCATCGAGGCTGTGAACGTGCGACGGCTTCTGGAGGCGCCACTGACCCTCCCACCCAGCCCAGGCGCCACCAACAGCCAGGCGCTAATGCAGACTGAGCGGTGGTGTGGGACAAGATACGGCGTCCGCTTCAAAGAATTCTTTGTGTGCTCGGACGCCGCCGTCACATTTCGCCGCCGCCCGTGGCGGCATCGTGCTTGCGGTTCAGGTAGAAAAGAAAGCGCGTTTCGATTTAGGCTGGCGCCACCTTCCGCCGCCCCCTGCTTGGGGAGAGTTGGTGACCTCGTGCCTCTTAATGTGTGTTGTTGTAAACAATGAAGTTTTCGGGCCGCGGTCCTCTCTCTCCTCCCCCTCCCCCGTCTTCCGAATGGTCGGCGGGGCTGGGAGGGCGGGGGCGGCGCAAAGTCAGGTGGTGCCGTTCTGACATAACACGTTATGTTTGTGTTCTCCGCTCAAGTTCCCCCCCCCTCCCTTCCTTCTTTCGCTCCCCGTTCGCTCGCCTCTTCGCAGCTCTGTGGGGACAAGATACGGCGTCCGCTTCAATGAATTTGTTGTGTGCTCGGACGCCGCCGTCGCATTTCGCCGCCGCCCGTGGCGGCATCGTGCTTACGGTTCAGGTAGAAAAGAAAGCGTGTTTCGATTTAGGCTGGCGCCACCTTCCGCCGCCCCTTGCTTGGAGAGAGTTGGTGACCTCGTGCCTCTAAAGCGAAATTGTCGCCACTTCCTAGGGTTGCTGGTGGGTCCTGCGGAGTGAGGCGCCGCGCGGACCTGAGCGGGACCTCGCCGTCCCTGGGGGGTTGTGATCGGCGAAATTGTCGCCACTTTCGAGGGCTGCTGGTGGGTCCTGCGGAGTGAGACACCGCGCGGACCTGAGCAGGACCTCGCCGTCCCTGGAGGGCTGCGATCTGCGAAACTGTCGCCACTTTCGAGGGCGGCTGGTGGGTCTTGCGGAGTGAGGCACCGCGCGGATCTGAGCGGGACCTCGCCGTCCCTGGGGGGCTGCGATCTGCGAAACTGTCGCCTTTTCGAGGGCTGTTGGTGGGTCCTGCGGAGTGAGGCACCGCGCGGACCTGAGCGGAACCTCGCCGTCCCTGGGGGGCTGCGATCTGCGAAACCGTCGCCACTTTCGAGGGCTGCTGGTGGGTCCAGCGGAGTGAGGCACCGCGCGGATCTGAGCGGGACCTCGCCGTCCCTGGGGGGCTGCGATCTGCGAAACCGTCGCCACGTTCGAGGACTGTTGGTGGGTCTGCGGAGTGAGGCACCGCGCGGATGTGAGTGGGACTTCGCTGTCCCTGGGGGGGCTGCGATCCGCGAAGCTGTCGCCACTTTCGAGGGCTGCTGGTGGGTCCTGCGGAGTGAGGCACCGCGCGGATCTGAGCGGGACCTCGCCGTCCCTGGGGGGGCTGCGATCTGCGAAACCGTCGCCACTTTCGAGGGCTGCTGGTGGGTCCTGCGAAATGAGGCACCGCGCGAACCTGAGCGGGACCTCGCCGTCCCTGGGGGGCTGCGATCTGCGAAACTGTCGCCACGTTCGAGGGCGGCTGGTGGGTCCTGCGGAGTTAGGCACCGCGCGGATCTGAGCGGGACCTCGCCGTCCCTGGAGGGCTGCGATCTGCGAAATTGTCGCCACTTTCGAGGGCTGCTGGTGGGTCCAGCGGAGGAGCGAGGCACCAGGCATATCTGAGCGGGACCTCGCCGTCCCTGGGGGGGCTGCGAGCTTCACGAATGCCACTCGCAAAAGTATATGTGCCCATGTCACGTCATCACCTCCGTATAACGACTCCCAATCTACTCATGCCCCGCATTGCGCAGGGGCTGGGTACGTCGCCAGGGTAATTATTTATACATTATTGACGTTTCCTGTAACCCCACCAGCACATCCAGAAACAATGCCCAGAGGAATTGCTTCGATCAGGGAAGTGCGCAACACACATAGGAAGGGTCCCCCAGTGGAGGCCTCTTGGAGCGTCTTGGGGGCCTCTTGGCGGTCCTGGACGCCTCTTAGAGCGTCTTGGGTGCCTCGGGGAGCTTCTTGGGGCTTCTTGGGGGTCTCTTGGGAGCCTCTCGGATGCCTCTTGAGCGCCTGTTGGGGCCTCCTGGGCGCCTCTGGGTCCCTCTGTCAGCGCTCTTGGGGGCCTTGGGAAGCGCTCTTGGAGCCCTCTTGGGCCATCTTGGAGCCATCTTGAAGCCTCGGATGGCCATCGGAAGCGAAACAGCGAGAAAGCCAACAACTGCGATGTTCCTAAGGTTTTGGAAGGATTTGGGCCTCCTCGGGGCCTCCTGGGGGAGCTCTTTGGCCACTTGGAGCCGTCTTGGAGCGGTCTTGGGGCCTCTTGGAGCATCGTGGGAGCCATCTTGAGGCATCTTGGAATATCTTGAGCCATCTTGGAGGTCATCTTGGGCTCTCCCAGGCGCTCTTGGAGTCACCTTAAGCAGTGTCCCCCCCCCAGGAGGCCAACATGTGGCCAACACCTTAGTACAATCAATGAGTTTGGCATTCTCGCCGAGGCCTCTTGGAGTGTCTTGGGTGCCTCTGGGGGGCCTCTCGGGGCCTCTTGGGGATCTCTTGGGGGCATCCTGGGGGCCTCTTGGGGGCTTCTTGGGGCCTCCTGGCCACCTCGTGGGGCCCTCTTGGGGCACCCTTGGGAGCCTTGGGAGCGCTCGTGGGGCCATCTCGGAGGAGATCGATCAAAGAAGAGGGGTCCTGAATTAGCGCTGCCCCCCCCAGGAGGCCAAAATGGGGCTAAAACCTGAGTAAAACCAATGATGTTGGCTTCCTCGCCGAGGCCGTTTTGGACGCTCCGACCGCTCTCGAAACGCCCCGTCCAGGTCCAGGGGAGGGGGCAGGAAGAGGGGTAAAAGAAGGGGGTGGAAGAGGAAACACCCTAAACCACCTACGCCCTAAAGGATTGGTGGGACTTAAGACATGTTTTTTTTATTGTTCTGGGGGTCTGGGATTTCGGGATTCTTGGTCGCCTGAGGTTTGGACTGCCGAGGCCCTGGGAGTCTGAAACAGAACACGTACGCGTCGAGGCGGGAGCGCCACTTTCATGCGACATCTGCGCGGCGCCGAGGCCAGAGCGACGTCCTCGTCCGCTCGCGCGTCGACGAAGTTGCGCGCGGTAAATGCACGCCGCGCCCAGGCGGGAATTCCCAGCTCTCCAGAAGCGTGAGCGTGGCGCCGAGGCGAGAGCGACCTGCTGGCCTTTCGTGCGGGATGTGCGCCGCGTCACGCTCCTGCCGCGCATTTGGCAGCGTCGACGACAGAACGCCCGTGTTGAGACGACAAAAGCTGTTTTTGTTTGCATTGTGTTTCTGGCCGGTAGGATGGGACCCCCCAGATCCAGTGCTGCCAACGGCTGGTTTTGTGGCGGAGTCGGAGCACACACCAGTAGGCAGAGGGGTGGAGGCGAGAGGGGGATATATGGGGGGCGATCTCTCAGGGGGGAGGCCTGGAGGAGGACGGTGCAGGGGGGAGGGCCGAACAGGCAGGGGGAGGAGGGCCCGAGGGAGCGGTGGGGCCTCCGACCTTCCTCCTCCTCCTCCTCCTCCGACTTCACAGGTCACCCTGTACTACGGCACGACGGACACGGTCTGCAACTACGTCGGCGGCGCCCTGCTGGCCCCCCTCCCCCGCGCCGTGCGCCTCCCGCGCGGCGCCTCCCCCGGATCCCGCCGCCCCCTCGCCGCCCTCGTCCTTCCGCTTCTCCCTCGCCCCGCCCTCCTCCCTCCAGCCTCCCTCTCCTCTCCGCCCCTCCCTCCTCTTCTCCTCCCTCCAGCTTCCCTCCCCTCTCTCCTCGCCCCCAGCTTCTCTCCCCTCTCCGCCCTCCTCCCTTCGCTCGTCCCCCCTGTCCGGCCGCCCTCCTCTCTCTCTCTCTCTCTCTCTCTCTCTTCCTCCTGCCAGCCGATCACGGGGCACGGACTGCAGTGCCCCTGGAGCCAGGGAGAGGCGGGGGATCCAGGGAGAGGCGGGGGATCCAGAGAGAGGGGGGAGGGGGAAAGGAGCACGGGAGGGGAGGTATCTGGACGGGATGGGCCGAGAGGCTGGTTGAAGGGGGGAGGGAGGGCTCCCTCTCTCCCTCCCGCTTCCCTGCGTTCCCGCGCCTTTCTCCTCCGCCACCCTTCCCCCTCCTACTCCCTCCTTATCCCCTCCTCCTCCTCCTCTTCCTCCTCGTCCTCCTCCTCCTCCTCCTCCTCGTCCTCCTCCTCCTCGTCCTCCTCCTCCTCCTCCTCCCTCCTCCTCCTCCTCCTCCTCCTCCTCCTCCTCCTCCTCCTCCTCCTCCTCCTCGTCCTCGTCCTCGTCGTCCTCCTCCTTCTCGAGGATCCTCCCTCCCTTCCTTCCTTCCCCGCCGAGGGAGGGGAATGCCGCATCGGAGCGAGTTCGCGCGGCGCGCTCTCCCCCTGGGCGCAGGCACACTCGCTGGAGTGGCCGGGGTCCGACAAATTCGCCGCGGAGCCGCTGAGGGACGTCCGCGCGGGGAGAGGGAGTGAGGAAGGGAGGATCGCCGAGAAGGAGGAGGAGGAGGAGGAGGAGGAGGAGGAGGAGGAGGAGGAGGAGAAAGAGAAGGAGTACCAGAGTACACCCAAGATGCGTCAACGATGCTGTAAAGCACCATCCCGTGCGAAGTCCCCAGAAAGTCAAAGGAAGGGTCCAGCGAGAATCAAAGGGGGCGCCCTCTATTCGTGCAACTTGTTCGCAATATGACGCGTCGGGTCGTGCAGTTTGAGGGAACTTTCATGTAGAGCGCAACCTTGAAAGGGAACCGACCCGCCCTCTATCCTTGTGACCGTTGAGGCTTCCTGCGAAGAGTGTGCACGGCGCCGGGGCGAGAGCCACGTTCCGAGGATGGGCCGCCCTCCGTCCTCGTGTCAGCTGGGACCTGTGCGGGCGGCACTGAGGCGCAACTCGCCTTCTGAAAGCGACTCGCCCTCCTTCCGTGCTGCACGGAAGGAGGGCGGAGGAGGAGGACGAGGAGGAGGAGGAGGAGGGCCGAGGAGGAGGAGGAGGAGGAGGAGGAGGAGGAGGAGGAGGAGGAGGGGGGAAGAGGAGGAGGACATCTGCTAGTTGTTCGGACTTCGAAGGGCTCGGGCCCCTCTCGCGGCGAAGAAGCCATCTCGGGCGAGGCGCCTCGAGCGCCCGGACCGGCACGTCCTGTGGCGCGACGAAGTCCTCCAGGGCTCCTCGTGCATCCATGCGCTCCGGGGTCGGGGGCGGCCAAGAGGGGGGTGATGACTGGGGGGGCGGAGGATAACATGGCGGGTGCCATGATGTCTCCCCAGATCTCATGGCACCTCTTCTTATTTCATTACGTCCTTGGCGCCCCCCCCTGGTCCGCGCACATGCCGCCGGCCATGATTTGCGCCCCCCCCTCTTGGGCGCCCCCCTCTTGGCCGCCCCCGACGGAGGGCCGGAGACTGGCTTCCTTCCTCGTTTCGCGCTTATTGTGGCAGCGGCTCGCGTATCCTGCCACTCGTCTGCCTTGCCAGGGGCAGGTCCGGCGGGACTGTTGGCAAACGTACGGCCCACGGCCTTTGGGTGGATGTTACACAGTCCATCGTTTCGGCTACCGTGTGTCGCATGGGTTTCTTGATGGGCTTGGGCTCCTCACTACAGACCTGCAGCCTGGTCATGGGACGCGCCGTTGTTCCTGGCCATCTTGTGGCGCGCCCCACCCGCTGTTTTCTGTTATTTTGCCCGCGGTGGCGAGGCAGACGATTCAGTTGCAAGCGTATGCGAATTTAACGGCGATTGGGCGATGCGCTGGTGGGCGTTCGCGGCTCTTGCTGCTGCATGGGGCAGTGCATTCGATGCGGCGATGGAGATCGGTGTGCGGAGCTGCTCGGTGCCAGTGGTGTGTGTGTGTGTGTGCGCGGTGGGACTTGGAGGGGCAGCGTGCGCCGTCTTCGGGATCTCGTGTTCTTGGCCTCGTTCAGCGATGCTCTGCATGAATTCGTGTTTGGCTGGCCTGGCCGTGCGCTTGTGCGCTGTTTCTGGATCCGGGTATCAATTTCGTGGAGAGTGTGGCTGGGATTCTTCTTGTATTGGCGCATAAACCTGACTTGAAGCGCTGACGGGGGTGTGGTCTGCTTGATGTGTCCTTTCTTGATGCTCTGGAGGACGAGGAAGAGGAGGGCCCTCCGCCACTCCTCGCCCCCCGCACCCGCCCCTGCCCGTCCATTTCAACGTGCTTCGATCACGCGCAGAAGGGGGCAGGGGGAGGGGAGAACGCTTCTCAGAAGGAGGTAGTTTCTTTTTAGACGGCGTGGGCCTTAGGAGGATACTTCTTAGAAGGAGGCTGATTATTGGAAGGAGGCTTCTTAGAAGAAAAGCTGTTTCTTAGCTTCTTATTTAATCGCTTCGCTCATTCCGCCGGCCCATATTGTCGCACCGTTGTGGGCTAGCCGAGTTTTGGGGGCCGTTTTGGGGCCTCTTGGGGCCTCTTTTGGGCCTCTTGGGCGCCTCTTGGGGCGTCTTGGGGGCCTCTTGGGGGCCTCTTGGGGCCTTTTTGGGGCCTCCTGGGCGCCTTCTGGGGCGGAGGGCTCGATTTTTCAGTTCTCGGTTCCCCTCTTGAGCCCCTCTTGGGCCCGTCTTGGGGCCTCTTGGTCCGTCTTGGGCGGCACTTGGGCCGTCTTGGGGGCCCTCCTGGGCCGTTCCGGGGCCGTCTTGGGAGCCTCGTGGGCCGTCTTGGAGCGGTCTTGGGGGCCTCTTGGGCCGTCTTGGAGCGTCCGGAAGCCGAAAAAGCCAGAACACAAAAAACATCGAAAAAACCAATGAAAATCAACGATTTTGGCCTCTTGGGGCTCTCTTCGGAGGCCTCTTGGAAGGCTCTTGGGGCGTCTTGGAGGCCTCTTGGGCTGTCTTGGGGGCCTTTTGGGCCGTCTTGGGGTCATCTTCGGCGTCTTCGAGCGCTCTTTGGGCGTCTCGGGGGCCTCTTGGGCAGTCTTGGGGGCCTCTTGGGGCACTCTGAGCGCGCTCTGGGGAGCCTGAGAGGCCGCACCCAGAAGGAAAACCATCTCTGAGTAGACTCGGGCGGTGGTCGGGCGGCGGTCGGGCGGCGGTCCGGGCGTTGGTCGGGGTACTTTTCGCCGGGGGACCCCCAGGGGCCGCCCCGCGCGCGCGAACTAGAAATACTGTTAATACTGTTAACCAGTTACCGGAGATCTTAGCACGCCCTGGCCCGTTGGGCCGGCGAATTAGAAGGAGGCTGTTATTTAGAAGGAGGCTGCTTCTTAGTAAGGCTGGCGCCTTCTGAGAAGCAGCCTCCTCCTAAGAACCCTTCCCCCCTCCCCATACCCTTTTGTGCGCGCCGCCAAGTGCTGTGGACGCTGGAGGTCAAGTCGGGGCGGCCTCGACGCGACGGGACTCGAGGTAGCCCTGACTCCAGCGCTCGTGGGTAGACCCACGGCCCCTCGCCCGACTGGACCCCAGGTCCCAGGTCAGCGCTGCCTTCCTGGGGGCGCGCTGGATCGCGGCCCGCTTCCTCGTGTCCTCCTTACAGAGTCGGATCTGCCCTTGGGCAAACACACGATGGCCCCGGTTCGGTTCGGTTCGGTCGGGCTCCGCGGGCCGTCCAGTTCGGTCCAGCCAGTCCGGCTCGAGCCAACCAGCCTGTCCGCGGGTTCGGCCGCCCGGTTCGGCCCGGGTCGGTTCGGCCGAGGGTTTCGGGGTTCGGTTTGTTCGGGTCGACCGATGTATCTGAAGAGCACCCGAAACATCCCCAATGAGGAATACCGAAAAACGCCGCTTCGATGCCGGAAGCCACCCTCCCCGCCGCGACTCGATCACGATGCGATTTGGATGTCGTTCCAGTGCGTGGCGCACGACGGCGCGACGCGACTTCCAATTGGGTCGGCGCATGCAGCGGGAGGAGAAGAATGAGTAGGAGGAGGAGGAGGAGGAGGAGGAGGAGGAAGAGGAGGAGGAGGAGGAGGAGGAGGAGGAGGAGGAGGAGGGAGGATGGGGAGGAGGCGGAGGAGAATGAGGCTGACCAGAATGAGGAAGAGGAAAGAGGAGGAGGAGGAGGAGGAGGAGGAGGAGGAGGCGGAGGAGAATGAGGAGGAGGAGGAGGAGGTTGTCTGGCTATGCGTGTCTCTTCCTCTTTTCCCCCGTCAGCTCTCATGGGCATCGTTTCTGGATGGGCTGGTGGGGATATTTTTGGGTACGCAGGCGCACGGATCAGGTCGGACGCCAGGCAAGCAGGGGCAGGCCATGACACCTTCGAAGGAGAAGCAGGGCGACGAGCGCGCCGAAACAGACAGGACTCAGAGGCGGCCGAGGGCGGGGGCGCGAGAGCAGCGCCAGGACCGCGGAGCCGGTGTCGAACGCGAGGAACTGCACCACCGGGAACGGCAGTGCGGGACCGCGCACCGCCGTGATGCCGAGCAGGCCCAGCCGGACCCCGGCGAACGGAAAGCTTGACCGAAGCCCGTGGGACACGCAGGAAGGGTGAAGGCGGGGCGCCATCTTTGCCGTACAGGTAGGACTTGACGAAGAACGTGCCCACCGCGAGCACGACTGGGCGAGTGGGAACGCGGCGCAGCCAAAATGCCGCGGAGGAGATGGAATTGCACCATCACGACGAGGTGGCGGGCGTGTAGCAACCCCGGGGAGTCGGGTCCTGGCGACCTGGACTCAGGCCGCCAGGGTCGCGTTTGGTCCGGTTCGGCCGGTTAGGTTGGCTGGGCTGGTCCAGTTCGGCCAGTTCGGTTGGCCGGGCCGGTTCGGTTCGGTTCGGCCGGTTTGGGTCGATGGCCAGTTCGGTTCGAGAACCGGTTCTCCGTGGTCGGTGTGGTTCGCGGCCATCATGAAACAGCTGGATTTCACAAGTTTGCCTGAGAGGGGTAGGTGGACTGTTTCGTTGCCAGTGCGCCACAGGTTGCGCCAGACACCCTGCAATCAACCTCGTTCGTTACTTCATCTCGGTGGGTGTATGCGCTAGATCCCCCGCAGTCGATCCCCCAACCAACGGCTGCGCCAGACCACCAGCAGTGATCGCCTGTTGCTTCAGTGGGTGTACAACTGCTCCATAGGTTTCGCCAGACATCCCGCATTTCACTGAACCTTGCGCTGCCTCAGTTTGTTCGCTTTCAAAACAGACAAGCGAACGACATCTCGAATCGTTCAGTGTTCCGGGGAAATCTAGTTCTCCTCCACATGTTGTTGCCCCTCCTGTTCTTCGCTCGTACTGGGATCAGGGAACTGCCTGACTGCACTGGAGGAGGGCCGAGTCCTGAACACCTTAGTTGCGGGTAGGTTACACGGGTGGAGGAAGGAGGAGGAGGAGGAGGAGGAGGAGGAGGAGGAGGAGGAGGAGAAGGGTGGTTTGGGTTGGGGTGGGATTCGTTTCGGTCTGTCCCCGTCCCCCCCTTGTCTCTCCCTCGTCCCCCCCGTCGCTGCCTGGGGTCTGGCGGCGGCTGGGGGGGTGGGGCCTGGACCGTGCTGGGCTATCGGTATCATCCCAGCGCTTTTTTCACGAGGATCTTCGCCTTCCCCTTTTCCTGCTTGCTCTCGTCCTGCTCTTTCAATCCCGCCTTGTACAGGCATCACCGCTCTGCCTTGAACTGTAGATAGATAGATAGATAGATAGACTATTAGATAGATAGATAGATATACATATATATATATATGTACATATATACATATATATAGAGATAGACAGCTATATATAGATATATACATATATATATGTATATATATATATGTATATACACATATATTTATAGATATTTGAATACATATATATACATATAGTTATATATATATGCATATGTATGTGTATATATATATATATATATATGTATAGATAGATGTATATACATATATATATATATAGATCGATATATATATATATATATATATATAGATATATAGATAGACAGAGGAGGAGGAGAGGAGGAGGGGAGGAGGAGGAGGAGGAGGAGGAGTAGGAGAGGAGGAGGGGACGGAGGGGGAGGAGGGGGAGGGGGAGGGGAGGGGGAGAGGGAGGGGAGGGGGGGGGAGGGCGAGCACGATCGATCGCAACCACCTCGGACGATCGTCGGCCATTTCGGACCGATCGCAACCAGTTGCGATCGGTCCGAAGTGGTTGCGTGTTTTTGAGTCGTTGCAATAAGGTTTCGATTAAGGAAGAGATCGTAAGAGCGCTTCTGGGTGCACTGAGCTCCCTTAAGCCGCCCCATGGGAATCTGAAGAAGCGGTTGCGATCGGTCCGATCACCGATGGCCGATCATGATCTTAGCTAAACACATGTACTTGAGCTCGAACGTGGCCATGATCCGTATACGATTCCTATGTGATTCGTGTACGATTGACACCGAAATTGAACGAAAACGTCTGGTGTGAAACAAACTGCATCTCAGAAGGGGGAGAGAGGAGGAGGAGGAGGCGGAGGAGGAGGAGGAGGAGGAGGAGGAGGCGGAGGCGGGAGGCGGAGCGGAGGCAGAGGCGGAGGCGGAGGGGAGGCGGAGGAGGAGGAGGAGGAGGAGGAGGAGGAGGAGGAGGAGGAGGAGGAGGACACAGAGGACAAAGAGGAGGAGGAGGAGGAGGAGGAGGAGGAGGAGTAGGCGGAGGCGGAGGCCGGTGGCGGAGGCAGGAGCGGGAGGCGGAGGCGGAGGAGGAGGAGGAGGGAGGAGGGGAGGAGGAGGAGGAAGAGGAGGAGGAGGAGGAGGAGGAGAGGCGGAGGAGGAGGAGGAGGGGGAGGGCGAGGGGGAGGGGGAGGGGGATGGGAGGAGGAGGAGGAGGAGGAGGAGGAGGAGGATGAGGAGGAGGAGGAGGAGGAGGAAGCGGAGGAGGAAAAAGGAGGAGGAAAAAGGAGGAGGAAAAGGAGGAGGAAAAGGAGGAAAAGGAGGAGGAGGAGGAGGAGGAGAAGGAAGAAGGAAGAAGGAAGAAGGAAGAAGGAATAAGGAGGATAAGAAGAATAATAATAAGAAACATCATAAGAATAATACGAGGAATAAGAAGATGGAGAGGAAGAGGAAGAGAAAGAGGAAGAGGAAGGGGAATAATAGGAAGAAGAGGAAGAAGAGGAAGAAGAGGGAGAAGAGGGAGAAGAGGAAGAGGAAGAGGACGAAGAATAAGAAGAATAAGAGGAATAAGAGGAAGAAGAAGAAGAGGAAGAAGAGGAAGAAGAAGTAGCATAATAAGCAGACGAAGCATAATAAGCAGAATAAGCAGAAGAAGCAGAACAAGCAGAATAAGCAGAAGAAGAGGAAGAAGCAGCATAATCAGCAGAAGCAGCAGACACAGCGGAAGCAGCAGCAGCAGCAGCAGCAGAAGAAGAAGACTAATAATAAGCATAATAAGCATAATAATATTAATAATAATAATCATAATAAGAAGAAAAAGAAGACGACGAATAATAATAATAGTAAGACGAAGAAGAATAAGAAGAAGAAGACGAGTACTAATAATAATAATAATAATAAGGATGATAATCATAGTAGTAATAATAATAACAACAATAATAATATTACTACTAATGATAATAATGGAAGGAACAATAATAATAAGAATAATAAGACTACGATGAGACATAATAATAATAATAATAAGAAGAATATTGAAAATAATAACAATAATAATAAGAATAATAAGATTATTAAGAATACTAATAATAAGAAGGAGGAGGAGGAGGAGGGAGGGAGGAGGAAGGGAGAAGGAGGATGGGAGGGAGGAAGGGCAGGAGCAGGAGGAGCAGGAGCAGGAGGAGGAGGAAAAGGAGGAGGACAGGTTGGCAAGGCGGGTAGACGCGGCGGCTCAGACCCCCAGAGGTCCGGACGAATCCCCCTACGGTAGGTTCGTGCGGCGTCGGCACTCGCTAGGCTTTTGGTACCGCGTCGATCGTTCAACCTTGAATCGATCGCGGCCCCGATCCGATCGTTCATGTTCAAGGTTGAGTTTCGTCCGGTGCAGTGGCCCCACCGTGTCCCTCGGTGCTTCCGCGTCGCAGAATGCAGCCTTCAACGCCTTCGCCAACGTCGCCGGCGTGCCAACGCCGCATGAACCTACAGTAGACCAGCATTGCATACTGAGTTATTGTTGGACGGCCCCTGGGCCCGGCGAGGGCCCCTGGAGCCCGAAACAGAAACAGACGTTGTCACGACGCCAGGCGGTCTGGGAGTAGGTGGCAGAGCTCAGCCAGCGGGAGTCGGCGGGCTCGGACACGACGAGGCGAGGCTGCATGTGCCGCCTTTTGCACTCAGCGCCGCGCGCCGCGGTGGCGGCCAGCCAGATCGTAACGCCCGTTGCGATCCGAGCTGGATTCAGAAGCCTCTCACAAGCCTCTCCTCACAAGCCTCTCAGAAGCCTCTCACAAGCCTCTCAGAAGCTTCGCAGAAGCCTCAGGGACCCCCCCAATCTGGGCGCGAAGCCTCTCAGAGAAGCCTCTGAGAGAAGCCTCTTAGAGGCCTCAGGGAAGCCTCTTAGAAAAGCCTCTCACAGACCTTAGAGAAGCCTATGAGAGAAGCCTCTCAGAGGCCTATCAGAGAAGCCTCTCAGAGGCCTCAGAGAAGCCTATCAGTGGCCTATCAGAGAAGCCTCTCAGAGGCCTCAGAGAAGCCTCTCAGAGAAGCCTCAGAGAAGCCTCAGAGAAGCCTCTGAGAGGCTTCAGAGAAGCCTCTGAAAGGCTTCAGAGAAGCCGTTGAAAGGCTTCAGAGAAGCCTCTGAAAGGCTGAGGAGAAGCATCTGAAAGGCTTCAGAGAAGCTTATGAAAAAGGCTTCAGAACAGCCTCTGAAAGGCTTCAGAGAAGCCTCTGAAAGGCTTCAGAGAAGCCTCCGAAAGGCTTCAGAGAAGCCTCCGAAAGGCCTCGGAGAAGCCTCTGAAAGGCCTCGCTGAAGCCTCTCAGAGGCCTCGCTGAGGCCTTTCAGAGGCCTCGCTAAGAGCTCTGCAGAAGCTGTGGATCGGTTGCAATCCGATGTTCTTCAGAAAGGTTTGTATAGGACTTTGTCGGGTTGCGATCAGTCCGTTTCCAGTGGTTGTAATCCGACTAAAGTACTTCCTGATCAGTCCGAAGAGGTTGTAATCGGTCTTATCCCTGAGGGGGAGGGGGAGGGGGAGGGGGAAGGGGGAAGAGGAGGGGAAGGGGGAGGGGCAGGGGGAGGGGGAGGGGGAGAAGGAGGAGAAGGAGGAGAAGGAGGAGGAGGAGGAGGGGGGGCGAGGAGAGGAGACGACTGAGCCGTTCCACAGCTTCCAGAGAGTCCCAGCGCACTCCTGCAGCGGCTGCGGCACCCCTAAGTGTCCTCTTGGATCCACGGGCCCTCAGGGCTTCTTGAGCTGCTCGTTCCCACTTCCTTTGTACGCACCTTGCCTTCTACGGTCGGGAGGAGGTGAAATAGTTGTTGGCGTGTGGTGGATGGTGCCTCCTACGCAGTGGGGGCGTTCAACGCTGCTGCTCCTTCTAACCTCCAGGTGCCCGCCAAAACGTTCAAGAATCCACAAGCGTCTCCAGTGATCCACAACAATCGCCAGCAAGCCCCTCAGCCTCCTCCTTCCGTCCCCCCTCCTCCCTTCTCTCTTCCGGCGGCGAGCGAGGGGGGGAAGTGACAAGCAACGAGAAGGCCCTCTCAGAAGGTGGCGAGATTTCTCAGAAGCCCGCTGGCCTTCTGAGACGTCTTTATGTCTTCGGGGAAGGCTCAGGAAACCTCTCAGAAAACCGAGGGACTTCCGAGCCTTCTGGGAAGGCCCGCCTCGTCTCACTTCCTCCCTGGGCCCGCCGCCGACTTTGGTTTTTGAGTCATAGCTCCGGTCTCCGGCGGCCGTTCGGGACGACCCGGGCACCCCCAGAACGCCCTCGGCGAGGCGCATTTATTGGCGAGCATCCCGAGGCTGGAAAACCGCCGAGGACCGACGACAACGTCCGAAAACCTCGAACTTTCTCCCTTCCCTCCTCACTTCCCGCCCTCGCTCGGGGCCCGCTGACCGCCCGATGTGCACTTGCACGCGAGCTGCGCGGCCCGAGGCGAGCCCCCCTCGCGCTCAGGACCTGGTCCTCAACGGCGCCCCGTCGGGCAAGACGAAGGCTCCCCGCCGCCCCGGCCAGCCTGCTCTTCCCTCCCCTGTCATCCCTCCCTTCCCCCCCCCTCCTTGCTCTGCCTCCTCCCTTTCCTCCTCCTCCTCCTCCTCCTCCTCCTCCTCCTCCTCCTCCCTACCCTCCTACTCCTTCCCCCTCCCCCCTCCCCTCCCCCTCCTCCCCTCCTCCTCCCCTCTTCCTCCTCCTCATCGCCCTCCTCCTCCTCCCTCCTCCTCCTCCTCCTCCTCCTCCTCCCCCGCCCCCTCCTCTTCCTCCTCCCCCATTCCTTTACCTTATACATAACTTCTCCCTGTCGCACCCCGAGGCAAGTTTTTAGTGCGGGGCGGGCGTTTCGCCTGAGACTTCCTCACCATTTATGATCTGAAGCTTCAAAAGTGACAACAGCTTCACAGATGGAGGGCGGGTGGTTTTCAAAATGTGGCTCTCGCCTGAGCGCCGCGCACATCCGTTTTAAACATTTGCAAGAGCTTCACGGATTGAGGGCGGGTGGTTTTCAAAATGTGGCTCTTTAGAATGTCCAAGAGTTTCACGGATGGAGGGCGGAGGGTTTTCAAGCGCCGCGCACAGTCGTTTTAAACATTTGGACGAGCTTCAAGGATTGAGGGCGGGTGGTTTTCAAAATGTGGTTCTGGCCTGAGCGCCGTGCACATTCGTTTCAAACATTTTCATCAAAAGTTTCACGGCTTGAGGGCGGGTGGTTTTCAAAATGTGGCTCTCGCCATCGCGCCGCGCACATTCGTTAAACAATGCAAGAGCTTCTCGGATTGAGGGCGGTTTCTTTTCTAAATGTGGCTCGCGCACAATCGTTTTAGAAATTGGCAAGAGTTTCACATATTGAGAGCGGCTCCTTTTCAAAATGTGGCTCTCGCCTTAGCGCCGCGTACACTCGTTTTAAAGCTTTCCAGAAGTTGCACGGGTTGGGGGCAGGTCGTTTTCAACATGTGGCTCTCGCCATAGCACCGCGCACATTCGTTTCAAACATTCGCGATAGTTTCACGGATTGAGGGCGGGCGGTTTTCAAAATGTGGCTATTGCCTGAGCGCCGCGCACATTCGTTTCAAACATTTTCAAAAGTTTCACAGCTTCCCATGATCAACGTACCAGAAATTGTGTTTTGGAAAGATTCAGGTTTATGTGGGTGCAGCAGTTATGTTGATTTGCGGTGTTGGAGTCCCAGAAATGGCGTTCTCGCACGATTCGGGATCGTCAAGATGCAGCAGTCAGGTTGATCCGTGGAGTTGAATACCCGAGAACAATGTTTTGGCATACTTCAGGATCTGCAAACGGTTGTCTTCCAACGAGGCAGTTCCCTCAATGAAAATGAACTGTTGTAGGGGCATTTGAAGAGGGAGCTTGGGGAGAGGGTTAATTCCAGCATCGTTGATGATTCTTGGGTTTGCACTGGTCCTCCTCCTCCTCCTCCTCCTCCGAGTGTCAGCTCGGCTCGAGCATCGTGCTCGGTTGCCAGCCAGCACCACGGAACCCGTTGCTCCGCCCGTGCCCTGCGGCGACTGCGCTGCCGAGGCTGGCAACGGACGCAGCCCCTCGGCGCCGGCGCCCCAACCAGTCTGCCGCCGCACGGCGGGCGCAGTACCGCCGCGCCGTAGGGCGCGCGGCCGAGCGGCTGCTGGCGGCGTTCGCCGAGCTGCGCAGCCATCGTGGTGTCCCCAGCCGCATGGGGGGACCGCCCCGGCTGCGGCTTCGGAGCCCGCGGCCGCGGCGAGTGCGCCGCCGCAAGATCGTGGAGGGCCCATGCCAGCGGGATCCGAGGAGACGCTGGGCGACCTTTTGGCGGTGCAGTCGGCGGCCCCTCTGACGCCTGACGCTCGAGCGGGCGGATACCGACGCGGAGCGGAGCTGCAGGCGCTGAAGGCGGCTGCGGCCACGCTTTCGCGGGACGCCACGCGAGGCACGGACGAGCCGCAGGCCGCTTCGAGCGCCCATTTCGCGGCCTGGAGCGCCGCGCATCGCGCGGCCAGCCCGCGTTGCCCCACTCCTGTTGGCCCAGCCACGGCCGCCACCGGGGCCGGTCGAGCATGCGAAGTTCATCTCGCTGCGGGCGCAGCGTCGTTTGGCGGCTGGGAAAACGATCACAAAACTAAAACGAAAGCTTGTATCGAGCCCTGACGCCATGTGTCTTCCGCCCGCCTGCCGTGGCTGGCCTCTGTGGCCCGCTCGCCGCGAATGTGTTCCGCTTCTGCGTGCCTCGTTTCTCCTTCCCGCGCGAGGCCGCCCCCCCCCCTCCCTCCCCATCTCTTGCACACCGGACAATTTGCCTATCGGTGCCCCTGGTTAGCCCGACGCTGGCGCGGATCGCCTCCGCCTCGCCGCCGACGACAAAGTCTTCTGCCCACCCCCATAGGGCGCCGGAAGCCCCGTCCCATGTCCCCCGCTGGCCCTCTGCCCTCCCTCTACGAGGGGCCCTCCTCTCGCCTCTCCCTGCCGCTCCCCCTTCTTCCTCCTCCTCCTCCTCCTCATCCTCCTGCTGCTGCTCCTGCTCCTGCTGCTCCTCCTCATTATCCTCCTCCTCCTCCTCCTCCTCCTCCTCCTCCTCCTCTTCTCCTCCTCCCCCGCTCTCCTCCTCCTCCCTCCTCCTCTTCCTCCCCCCTCCCGCCCCACCCACCTCATCCTCCTCCTTCCTCCTCTCCTCCTCCTTCCTCCTCCTATCCTCCTATCCTCCTATCCATCTCCCTCCTCCTCCTTCCTCCTCCTCCACCCTCCTAGGCCTCTGCAGAATGGCGCTGGCCCAAAGGCCGTAGTAAGGGAGTCGTTACCATCGGGCGCTTCCGGGGAGTGCTGCGCCCCTTCACGCGCTGGACGCGCGGCGCAGTCGGGACGTGGGGCCAGCGCCCACAGCGGGATTATATCTCGGGACGTTGGGTCGAGCTGTTTTGCGTTTTTTTTTGTGTGGTGTTTTTTGTGTTTTGTTGAATTTTTTTCTTGCGTTTTTTCTGCCTCTGTCTTTCTTTTATTTGCGAGGGACGCGTGTGTGGATCCAGGCGGCCAATGCTGAGGTCGCGACTCATCGCGAGCAGGCGGCCTGCGCTGTGCCCATGGACCTCTCCGAGGCGTACGAGCACATCCCGTGGGCGCTGCTGGTCGCCCGAACCCGTGCATTGGGCTTCGACATGATGCTGGTGTGGCTGCTCATCAGGCTCTACGCCCTGCCGAGGCTCGTCACCGTGGACGGCGTGGCGATGGGCTGGTGTGTCCCGCTGCGAGGCGTGGTGGCAGGCTGCAGCTTCGCGGACCTCTGCATGCGTATATTCCTCGTGCCGCGGCTCGACGAGATAGTGGCCCTCGGCACCGTGGACCCGGGGAACACCGTGGACGACATCCAGCTCGGCAAGGTCGGGCACCCCAGGCTGGTGGCGACAAACGTCAGCTCGGCCTACAGGCGGATTCGAGGCGCCCTGACGGCGGACGGACTTGTCGCCAACGACGGCAAGGGCGTGGTGCTGGCCAACATGTCTGCCTGCGGCCGCGAGGTCATGCGGCGATGCCGCCCCCTCCGCGGCAAGTTCTGGATCTCGGCGCACACCCTGAGCGTGGATTTCGCCAGCGGGCGCCGGGCTGCAGTGAGCACGCGGGGCAAGCGCACCGCTACCGCGCTACGCCGTGCTGCGCGCATTCGCGTGATCCGCGCTGCTCGCGGCAAGACGCGTCAATTGGTCAGCCTCGGACTGACCCCAGCGGGCACCTGGGGAGCGGGGGTGACTGGGAGGGCTCGGAGCGGGATCGAACCGATGAGACGTGCAGCGCACTCCGCCATGAATGTACACACAGCTCGTCGCTCCTTCGATGTCGACCTCCACCTCTCCCCCGCCTCTCCGTGGACCGCGGGCCCCGCCTGCGCTTGCACTGCGGGGCCCATTCACGTGATTGCCCAGGCGATTTGGTCATCGTGGATCCCTCGGAAATCGCTTGCTCGGTTGATGTTTGCTTCTGTGGCAGCTTTCATGGCCGACCCCTCCAAAAACGACTGGCCCCCGGTCAAAGGTCCGATCTCGGCTGCCGTCGCCATCTGCCGTCGCATAGGTTAGAGGCTTGGACCTGGAGCGTGCGTGCTTTTAACACAGGATGGTTTTGCTGTCAAAAACCGAATAAGGACGCGCGACTTTGCTCAGGGTGCCCTTGCGTCCTTGCTCTTCCTCGGTAAGTCAGGGTGCCCTTGCGCCCTTGGGGTTTTCGTCGTCCGCCGCCCCAGAAATCCCGACTTCGGCTTCCAAGGGTCTTGCGTCCTTACCGCGCGTCTTTATCAAGGTTGTTGGCTGTAAGATTGATTTCGCTTGTATGTGCCCTCGCTCTGTGCTGCGCGTTGCTCGCCTCGCGATCGAGGATTGGCTGATGGATCGTGCCCGCCAGAGCTGCGACTACATGTCGAGCCTCTCACATGGGCCGCACTTGTCACCCACCCGCAAGCTGTGCAATGGAGCGCGCGGGCCTGACTGGAACATCTAGCATCGGGCCGGTTTCCGAGCGATTGCAGCGAATGGGATTTGGGATCAGGCCGCGAGTACAAGCACGGTCTGACGACCGATCCGTCGCGCCCCTTGTGTGGCTGTTGTCCTGGCACCCTCGCCGCCTGGATCGCTGGCGAGTGCTCGGCCACCTGGCAGTATGCGCGGGACTATGACCTCCCCCCCCTGTCCGCGATGGCCTCCGTGAGCACCCCGACTGGGCCCTTTGGAGGCGCGGCCTTGTCCCCGACCCTCGGCCCTGGGCGATCCGCCCCTCCCCCCCCCCCATTCGCCCGCTGGCTCATGCGTCCGCTGGGCGGCCATTTCGAAGGCGA